TGACCTCTTGTTCTCCCCCACTTTGCCTATGGGGGTGTGTCAAACATTAATCACATAGCCTATCTAGGCTGTAGTGGGGTAGACACTATGGGGTACAGTTTCCTAGGGTTTCATATTTGTACCCAACTCATTTCCTAGTCAATCATTCATTCCTGTTTCTTCACACACCCCTCACGACATACCCTTAACGACTGCATCATCACCGAAGTATTCGCACCTGGAGCAGTCCTGCGACCTGACGGAACAGAGCTGAGAAACACCTCACATCGACACACCTGCACCATCTGCCCCGCAGCCGCACTCACTCACCACCCTTTTCCCCTGCTTGAACCCAACACGAATCGGTGCGCGAAGCTACGCAAGGTATGCAGCGACTTCCTCGTCGTCAACATCAGTGGTCTCAACGATGAATGCAGCACGCTCACCTCTGTGGACGCATGGATGCGTTACGTCTGGATAGCAAACGTACCGAGCCGCAGCAATACGAAGTCTTTCGCCTCTGGCTGGCTCATGCGCAGCGGAAAACGAGGAAGAAACTTCAGATCTGGCATACAGACGTCGCCACTGTGTTAGAGATTAAGGACAAGGTCTATGAAGATTAGGGGCCGAAATATCACAAAATCGTTGGTCTAAGTTTCTGGACAGAAATGCTGACTTTATATGAAACGCCGTCGATGAAAAACGCACCGTTAAAACTTCACCAAATTTAATATGTTGTACCCCTAGACTGTGGCTACAATTCCCAACTTGAATCGTATCAATAGATGAAGTAAACTCGAGATATCAATTTCGGCGCACTGGGGGGTATGCTGCCACAGAAACTTAACTCAATCACAATAGTTCACACAAGTACCACACAAGGGAATCAGAGTAGCTAGAAACCAGGTAGGAGGGGATGAGGAGGACGAGGGGGAAGGTCCCTAGGGAGTCCCAACCAAGGAAACCCTATAAGCACATAAAATCCCCTCCCTAAAGCAACCCCACTTTTACTTTTGTCACTTTCCCAACCTCCACAATCCACCTCACCCAACTTGGCCACACTTGCCAACCTGGTTTGGCTTCTTCCAACGACTTGGCAGCATCTACAATAGAGTGACGAATTTCCCAACCCCCATATAGAGTCACTCCACAAATTCCCAAAGTCGTCGCAACCAAATTTCAAAAGCATACGAACTTCAACCGTTCGTAACTTTCTCGGTTGTGCTCCGATCGCGACGATTCTTGGTTCGTCGGAAAGCTTTTGAGCAGAGGAGTTATTTCACATATCTGCTCAAATAAAATGATATTCACACATGCTCAGAAAATTCTTACGCACACGCACACAAATTCTTACGCACACGCACACCACACATGCAAGGTAGAAAGATAAGATGGGAGGCAGACAGACGTGAATGCGAATGATAGCATCACATAACACGCTATGCGCATCAACCGCACACTCATGGCAAAGGTGGGCATACTGCAAAAGTAGTCCAGACTCGTTGCTACGTACTAGCCGTACACAATGCATTACGCAGTACGGCTTCACAGCCTCCTCTCCACCACTACGATTAGGGGAAACCTGTTGCCACACGTGAAATAGACAGGAAGGAAAGGGGACACTTCAATGCTGCAGGTATGGGAAGGAAAGACCCACGTCAGCTACCATAGGGAAGTTCACGGACTGTGCACGTTGGGGAATTCATCTCAGGATCAACTACGATTACAAGGGGTGGCCCATTCTCGAACTGCAAAGCAACAAGATCGCACCTGCGCATGACATCTTGTTGTACGAGTGCCTCACACTCGCTAAGTTCTACGCGGATGAATAGGTAGAAGCCAGTCAAGCTTACGCGCACGGGGATCGAAGCTTCGCCACTCCTGAGGACCAAGCTACAGCAGCAATCCTCGACTGTGATGCTGATAACGAACACCCTGGTATGAATCCACGTTCGCGCGACGATGACGACGGAACGGCTCCCGGACCATCGCGTCGCCAAGACCCTGTCAGAAACTTTTCACTTGCACGCGGAAGCGATGATGACGATGTGCAGGAAGTGACCACTGGAGAGCAACATAACACTATTGCCACAGAGCTACAACTGCTCGGCCTGCACACAGCAACTACTACCGCCCTGCGAGTCATCAAGCCTAAAAACCCAAGGGAGGCTTGATAGGACCTCATAACAAGAAATTGTGGGCAACGATAAATGCAGAACTAAAGGCGCTGGAGTCCCGTAACACTTGGGTTCTCGTTGATCGGACGACGGTAAAGGGAAGGTGGGTGTTATCAGGAAAATAGGTCTTTCGCGTAAAGACTGCGGCTGACGGGTCAACCGAGCATTTCAAGGCAAGAAGGGGCGTGCGCAGCTAGGATCAACATCACGGGATTGACCTCGACCAAACTTTTGCCCCCGTAAGCCGCCACACCTCTATGCGCATCCTACTCGCCATCGTCGCTACTAAACATCTCCCACTCCGACATATCGACGTAAAGTACGCATTCCTATATGGAGAAGGTGGCTCCAGGGTCTGCCAGCTAAAGAATTCCCTCTACGGGATCAAGCAAGCACTGCGACTGTGGCAGCATCATCTATACAAGATCATACTGGAAATCAGTTTCCCGTAGCTACCACAAGACGCTAGATGTAGCGCCTCCAGTTCTGCGATGATTATATCCTACTCACTGTCTACGTCGACGATATGTTGTACGCAGGGACGAGAAATACTCTGCTTGATCAGTTCGAGAGGAACCTAGGGAGTCTTGTCAACATCACCACCAATCACAACGTAACACATTTCCTAGGTCTCAACATCTCCCACGCTCCTGAAGCCATCCATCTTCTAGCCTCTAAATACGCCGAATCACTTGTGGAGCGGTTCAACATTCCATCCTCTCTCAACTCTCTACCGCTTGCCTGGACCCAACCAGAAACTGGACAACAAACCTCTATCGCCGACGAGACTCCACATTTACTAGCAGCAGCCGGGCTGCCTGATGTTCGCTTCCGTCACATGCAGGCCCGACGAGTCATATATCGCTATTCAACTAGCCCAGTACTATGGCCGAGAACCTGCTGGATATTCAGCGCTCCCTGCAGTACTTCATATCGACACCCAACATTGGCCTCTCCTATTCAACACTGACAACCCAATCCTTCAACCTCGTCGGATACGTGGATGCCGATCACGCCGCTGACTTGACAATAGACGGTCACGGACTGCGTCCTCTTTCGACTCAAGCCAACGGGGCCAATCTCTTGGAACTCCCAGAAGCAAGAGCTGGTTGCCATGTCGTCAACCGAAGCAGAATTTATCATCGCCACCCCTGCAACTCGCGAAGGCCTCTATCTGCAGGAACTATTGCAGGAGGCGAAAATTGCGACATCATCAACCTTCTGCCTTCATTACGGCAACCGGAGCGCGATCAAAATCGCAAACAAGCCTGGCTTTGTCAACCGGACGTACTGTCTTACTACTGATATGGCGACTGACTTCCTCACTAAACGACTGCCAAGTCAGCAGTACAAGCACTGCGCCAACCGTAGCGGGGTGGTCAAGAGTGTCAGAACCTGCTACGCCGATACAGTCAAGTACTACCGAAGATGATAACCGAGGGTCGAGCCCTAACGAAGCCAGTTGTCATGACAAGACGGATGCAAGCATATACATTCAACAAGAGAAAAGGCGGGAACATGTTTAAAAAGGGTACATGCGCTGCATGATTGAGTTTCTCTGTAATAAGGTGATGTACCCCTCATAGTACATGGCTAGTTGTAGGTCTCTTCGTATTCCCTTGGCTTCATGTATAAACGTATGTATGTCTAGGGTTATAGTCACTTCTGTCATTTTACAGTCACTCTGATGGGTGTCATCAATTCTCATTTCCGCTGCAAACTACCTGCGATCAACCTTGAGATGGATCCTGGCTAAATCCCTTGTGGGATGTTACAGAACGGCCCTTTCAGATCAATAGTTTAGCTGCACGAGCGGGACAGGACCATGGGAAGGGAGGAAAGGAGCTAAATTATGTAGGCTGCGCAGTTCTGACAACAATGCGTCATGTCTGGTATCCTCATCATGCGGCCATGCATCATTACAAGATTTACGGGTGGTAATATGTGGTACAAAGAACTGCAAGATGTTGGGTGTTTGAGCATTTCCAACCAGTCTGACGTGTTTCATGTGTGATATACCGGATCTGCTAATAAGGAGAAAATCTTTCCTGTCAGCTGACATTGCTGCTGGGACGGAGCGAATTCATTGGATACTTTGCTCCACACTCGCGACAGCTAGCGACGCGCAACACTCCAGCGATCAGCCCCTGCGGCTCGGCGGCCTGCCTGCTTGCCAGCGACAGCATAGCACATCAGGTCTGCGAATGGGCCTGTTCAAACCTGTTAACGAACTACAGCACACTCTATCCTACTCAAAGCATTTGTAACATATATCAAGTCCTTAGAAAAGCACTCATAACCGCGTGATCCATTCCATACTCATTCGCAGGCAGACTGGTGGCCCCTTTCCAGCTTTGTTGATTGAGCCACGCTCACCGCCATGTGCCAGTCGAGGCATATAAGTCGAGTCTCTGCTTTCATTCCGCTCACCACCCCACTTATCAGTGTGCTCGCACTCGTCCTCTCGCAATCGCTGCTTTTTTATCCCCCCGTCAAAGGCAGCCGCGCATACAAACGCACCAAAATTTCAGCTGCTCCAAAATTTCACACGCATATCCCAAAGTCCCTCTTGAAAAAATTCAAAAGTGTTCCACAATTTTAGTACTGAGAATAGCCATTTCCCCGCCACTCGCGGCACTGTCTTCACGCTACTCGCACGTGGTACAAGGTGCAATTAATCGACCCAAAAAACATACTACTAAGGCGCAGCTAGTACAAAAGTGGGGCTCATATTCTTTAATTTGTCGGTGTTTCAGCCGACGCGCGCCCTGCGGCGTGAGGTGTATCGTTTTCTAGGCCATAATGACCGGCTGTACGGTTGGATACTGTAGCAGAAGCTCAAATATGAGTGTTACTCTTCTGCTCGTGCTGCTGGCTTGCGCGTTCGCGATACAAGCGGCACCGTTAAGGGGCGGGCACGGAATGGCGGGGAAGCTGCAGCAGCAGCAAGCGAAGGGGTACATCGAGATGCCGCAAGAAGACGACAACGCGGCGCGCGCCAACGAGCTGCCTTCCTTCGAACGGTCTATGGAGCTATATCGCGTACGATCTTACCTGACCCTCGCCGAGATTTGGTTCACGTTTTTTCACAACAATACATCTCGACGCGGCAATTCGTCCGACCTCCAACCCCACCGCTACCCTCTCCGTCCGCTCCCCCTTTCCTCCCCTTCACCCCCGGCCTCTCTCTCCTTCTCCGCCCGCCATGCCTGTTTTGCCATGCGGACTTTTGAGAATTCTAAAGACTCGTCTCCCTCCCCCCCTTCCCTTCCCTTCCCCGTCCTTCCCCCACGCTCAGGCCTGGGAAGGGGTCTACGGCCTCGCGGACCCCGCGCAGCCTCCTGCGCGCATTGCCCTGCCACCCAACGTGCCGCGCGCTCCGCACCTGGAGGACTGCTCTGTGCGGAGCACGTTCCGTCAGCAGACGGAGGCGCGCGGGCCGCGCGGGGAAGCGCCCACGTGGTCCAGCGTGCCGAGCGGGTGCCGTTACCCGCAGCCGCCTTGGGTGAGTGCTGGCTCGTGTGAACGGGAGTGGTGAGTGGTGGTGAGTGGTGGTTGCGCGCCTGGCGAGCAATGGGTGACGGCTCGTTGACGGATCACTAAACAAGGCGGCCTTCACCCTCCTCCTCCCACTTGCCCCCACTCCCCAACCCCGCCCCCTTCCCCCGCCCTTTCCTTTCCCCCAGGTGCGCGGATCGGACGCCGCCAATCTCGCCGGGACGCGCCAGGCGCAGGCCGACATCTGGCTGCACCAGTTCCCCGCGCGCTCCGCCTCCGCGGCCGCTCAAGCCGCCAGGGGGGAGTGCGTCGGGCGGCGGTTGCTGGTGGTGCCGTGGCCGAGCCGCAGAAACGGCATCGGGTCGCAGATTCACATCATGAGCGCGTGGCTGAATCACGCCATGTCGCACGACCGCATTCTCGTCACCACGCCCGGATCCTTTGAGCGCGCCAACCACTCCCACTGCACTGGTAAGGACTGGACTGGTAATGCCTAATCAATACGGTAATGAGAGGTGTGCACAGGCGCTCACTTTGGCCCCTCGTCTCCTTCTCCCGCAATTCTTCCCCCCTCGCTACCGCGACGCACCCGCATGCGAAGAGACAGCACTAGAAGGGCGTCCGTCACCTGTCCTTCCCTTGTTCCCCATCCCCCCACCCCTTCCCCCTCCCAGGCGCAGCCAAGGGCTCCTTCTCCTGCTACTTCTTCCCCCTCGTCGCCCCCTCGTGCGACGAAGCCGCACTCGAAGCAATAGCAGCCGTCGCAGCAGCAGGGCCAGCAGGGAAGGGTGGGGTGCGGGAGGTGGTGACGCGGGGAGGGGTGAGCGTGCTGGCTACAAGTCCCACGGGCATGGGCGCAGAGGAGATGGCGGCGGTACTGGCGTCCGACGCGCGCGTTCTGCTCTTCACTGTGTCTACTTTTCCCCCGCATTCCACCGCGCTTGCTGCTAGGTGAGACTCTTGAGGCACCTTGATAGTAGCGTCAATGCTGGGAGTACAGGCAACGCTAATGGTGTCCGACGCGCGCATTCTGCTCTTCACTGAATCGACTTTTCCTCCGCATTCCACGGCGCTGGCTGCTAGGTGAGAGAGAGGTTGCATTGGAGGGGGGAGAGGGGGTGGATGGGAAGTGGTGGTGATTGTAGGTGGGGTGGGGTGAGCGTGGCGGCTATGACTCCCCCAAGGGAATGGGCGCAGAGGAGATGGCGGCGGTACTGGTGTCCGACGCGCGCGTCCTGCTCTTCACCGAGTCTATGTTCCCCCCGCATAACACCGCGCTTGCTGCCAGGTGAGAGAGATTGCATTGGAGGGGGGGTGGGGTGAGCGTGCTGGCTACGAGTCCCAAGGGCATGGGCGCAGAGGGGATGGAGGCGCTGATGGGGTCTGACAGGCGCGTTCTGCTCTCCACTGAGTCGACCTTTCCGCCCTTTCCGCCCCATGCCACGGTGCTAGCTGCCAGGTGAGACTCTTGAGGCAACAGGCATTTGATTCAGGCATCTGGTCCCTCACAATCCAATACCCCGTGCATTGCACGGTGCATACTGCCAGATGACAGAGAGGGGGGCACGGCAGTTCTAGAGAGAAGGGGGCACACGGAGGTGCTGGGGTGGGCCGTTCTAACTCTCTCACCTGCGCATGTTCCAAACCCCTCCTTTCCATCCCCATCTCCCTCCCATCAGGCGGTGGGGCAAAGCGTTTCTGGAGAGCAGGGGGGACACGAGGCGATGTGAAGGCTAACTCTCTCCTCTCTCACCTGCGCCCCTCCAACCCCTCCCCTCCAACATCTCCCTCACACCAGGCGGTGGGGCACAGCATATCTGGAGAGCAGGGGAGACACGGAGGTGATGGGGCGGGTGCGCGTGGAGAACCCTCCGTACCTGCAGCTGCACTGGTGGCGAGCGCAATCCTTCCGCTTCATGCTGCGCTGGCCCTCAGCCTACCTCTGCCACCTCACCAACCGCGCCCGCCACGAGGCTTACGGGCCTAGCGCCAGGGCCAAATTGTCTTAGAGGGAGAGAGGGAGGGAAGCTGGGGAGGAGGGGAGAGACGGATGAAAGGGGGGGGGTCAAAGAAAAAGGGCGGAGAGGGGCGAGGTTGGGGAAGTTAGCGAATTTTGGAGAAATCGCCTTGTCTTCTTCTCTCCTCTTCTCCCCTTCTCCCCTTCTCTCCTCCTCTCCTTCTCTCCTTTTCCTCCACCGTAATGAGGTGACTTTTGATTCGACTCAAAAGTTTCCTCCCTCTGCTCATCATGCCTCTTTCCGGGAGTCCACCTTACCTGCTCTCTCCTCATCTTCTCGAAGCATCCCCCCTCTTGAACTCATCACTTTGCTGCCTCCTCCCTCTGTCATTCCCAATCCCCGCCACCCCCACCACCAGAGCCCTCTGCTCACATTCGTGTATTCATGGACCATACTATTCACAAGGGCAAGGTCACTATTCGTGTACTCGTGTATTCATGGATGCCATAGCTCCCTGTTCTTGCACTCATCACTTTACTGCCTCCTCCCTCTGCCCCCCTCCTCCACCCCCCACCACCAGAGCCCTCTGCGCGTGTCTTCGTGGATCACACGGTGTACAGGGGCAAGGGCGCTTGATGGCACTCCTGCTCCCCCCTCTTGCCCTCATCAATGTGATGCTTCAAACCCCACCACCCACCGGCCCCCACTGCCACCACCAGAGCCCTCCGCGCGTGTATTCGTGGATCACACGGTGTACAAGGGCAAGGGCGCTCTCAGTTTCGTCCCCATTGCCCCTCGCTTCCGAGTCACCCAGGTACGCCTTCCCCCCTCTTCGCTCCTGTCCCCTCCCCTTTCCCCCCCACTGCTCTCCCCATCCCCTTCTCCCCCTTTTTCTCCTGCCCCTCCAGTTCCCCGCCCCCCTCCTTTTTTCCCACCCATCTTCCCCACCCATCTTCCCCGCCCATCTTCCCCGCCATTTCTCCCCTCTCCTCTAGTGCTTCACCACCGGTACCTTGCTTGGAAATCCTCTTAAAGAGGGAAGCTGGACAAAGACTTACAGATATGGGAAGACGCGTCTAGCGTCTTAGACGGTTGCGTCTAGACGCAGCGTCTGAGACGCTAGACCCATTTCAGGCTAGATTAGACGCATATTAGACGAAAGCTCGGCCAGGCCAAAAAAAATGTTCGGGCAGCCTAAAAAAACTTCTGTGGGGCATGGGGAGGGTGGGGGGACATGCACATATGTCACATAGGTCCCTAGGGACTAGGAGACGACATGGTTTCGCGAGGGAACTAGCAAAACCCTAAAGGGTTTTTGAAAGAGAATTTGGTAGAAATGAAAGATGGGGAGCACAAATGGGGGATTTGTGCTCCGCAACCTCTTGGCGGTGCAGTGAGGTTTGTGTTCAATTTTGGCTGGGGGGGTATCAAATTTGCTTGGGGGGCTGGTTTCTATGGTCGAAATGGGTGGGACGGGGTGCAAATGTCGCGAAATTGAATTTCGCTTCGAAATCGCGAAATTAAATTTCGCGCGCGCGAATTTTGTTTTTGTTTTTTCGGGCTGACCGAAATTTTTTGGGCCAAGCGTCTAGCGTCTAAACGTGCGTCTTGCGTCTTCCGCAACATAGTATGGCACACATGATAATTTCTGTGTTATCCTTGTTGTAAAGTTTGTCATTACTTGAGGCGCCTGAAAATCCAGGCTCGCTTAATACGTCTCTCTGACCACCCTGCCGCTCGTTTCCCCACCCCCACCCCCACCCCCACCCCCACCCCCGCCCCCGCCCCCGCCCCACCCTGCACTACCATTAGCTCGTGGGCCGACTGGTTCCTAGACAGTCAGTCACCTGCAGACATTGCGTTGGCTCATTTGAAAGAGGGTTTCCTCTGCGTTGGCTCTATGCCAATTCGACTGGTTGCCCTTTGCCCTTCCTTCCTTCCCCCTCTTCTCCGTCTCCCCCCCCCCCTCACAACTTCTCCCCTCCTTTCTGTCCGCCGTGCCCTGTGCGGACGGGTGCGTACGCATTGACTCATGAGCGCTCGGTGTTGCTCAATGTTGCCAATTTTACCCTTTAACCTATCCTTTCCCTTCTCCCCCCCTCCCTCCCCAACTTCCCCTCTCCTCTCTTTCCCTCCCGCTTGTGCAGACGGGAGCATACGCATTGGCTCGTGAGGGCTCCGTGCTGCTGAACTTTGCCAACGCCATCGGCACGCGGAAATACGACTGGGACAACAAGCAGGTGCGAACGAGATATTCCTCCCTCGCCTCCCCCTCCTCCCCTTCCTCTACACCCCCCTTTGTCTCAACTTCTCCACCGCCATCGGCACGCGGAAATACGACTGGGGCAACAAGCAGGTGTGAACGAGATGCCCCCCCCCCCACGGCTCCCCCTCCTCGCCTCCCCCCTCCCCCCCCCCCCCCCCGCTTGCCAACGCCATCGGCACGCGGAAGTGTTGTGCTGTGCTGTGTTGTGCTGTGTTGTGCTGTGTTGTGCTGTGTTGTGCTGTGCTGTGCTGTGCTGTGCTGTGCTGTGCTGTGCTGTGCTGTGCTGTGCTGTGCTGTGCTGGGGCAAGTGAGCCTCCGTAGCGTGGTGGCCCCCACCCGTGCCTCCCTTCCGCCCCCAGAAGCTCTCCCTGTCGGTGTCAGGGCCAGTGCTGGGTCTGGTGAGGTTATTCGAACACCCCTTACCCACTCTACTCTCCCCTCTATGCCCCCACCCTCCTCCGCTCCCCCCTTTCTCCCTTCCCCCTCCCCCCCCCCCCCACAGATGTTCTCCCTGTCAGTGTCAAAGATTGGGTCAGTGCTGGGGCTGATGAGTTTATTCAAGGCCCCCCTATCCATCCGCTCCACTCCCCCCTCCACTCCTCCCACCTTCCCCCTTCCCCCTCGATGTTCTCCCTGTCAGTGGCAGAGATAGGGTCGGTGCTGGGGTTGGTGAGACGCCTGAACAGATCCCCTGTCCACTCCACCCTTCCCTCCTCCCCTCTCCCCTCCCCCCCCACATTCCCCCCCTCAGATGTTCTCCCTGTCAGTGTCAGAGATCGGGTCAGTGCTGGGGTGGGTGGGTTCATTCCAAGAAACCCTATCCGATCCGCTCTCCCGTCCATTGCTCCCACCTTGCCCCCTCCCCCCTCCCTCCCTCTCCCCCCCCCAGATGTTCTCCCTGTCAGTATCGGAGATCGGGTCAGTGCTGGGGCTGAACCCAGAGGACAAGCTCGACTTCTACCACGACCCCTCCAAGGGCAGGAGGTGAGGCAAGGCGAGGGAAGGGGAGGGGAGGGGGAAAGAAGCAAGGTGGGGGATGGGCGCCAGGGGGCCTACAGAAGCCTGCACCAGAGATTAGGGTGAGTATTGGGGTTGAACCCAGAGGACAAGCTGGACTTCTACCACAACCCTTCCAAGGGCAGGAGGTGAGGGGCGGGCGGGGAGCGAAGGGGTGGGGAGGTGAAGAAGTTGGAGTATACGCTCAGAGCCTCAAGCATATCACGTATAAACGCTTTCGTTTAAACGCTATACGCTATACGCTACGGAATACGCAATACGCAGTCAGAATTTTTCTAGGGCTGCCCGAAGAAAAAAAATCGCGGAAAAGGTGCGGGTTTTCTTGGTGGGCATTTCGCGGAAGTCGAAATGCTAATCGGTGGTCTAGGCAAGCGGAAATGTGTCTTCGAAGTTCGCAGGCGTGTCTAGGAATCCAAATGTTGAATCTCAGATCAGTACCGCACTGAAACCCATCCCATCTACGAACTCCAACCCATCCAAAACTACCCCCCCAACAAACCCCACCGTTCTTACCAGCCAGCCCAGCTCGTAACTCGACATTTCTAATTTTATTTCATCTCGATCTTGCCGACCACATTCTTATCGACGAGCATGACTAGATTGGGCACCAACTTCGTGCTTTGCAACTCGCCGATCCCCCGATTTTAACCCAACAAACTGCCCAGGGAAAAGTTTTATGGTGCCCGGGACTGCGTATTCACTGCATACTGGACCCCTCCCAAGAAGCGTTCGGCGTTTATACGCTAGCGGATAAACGCTAGCGTATGAAACGCGAAACGCGTATACTCCAACTAAGTGAAGAGAGGGGAGGCGAGGTGAAGCGAGGTGGAGAATGGGCTGTGGGGACCACAAAAGCCTGGCGCAGAGCTTTAGTCAGTGCTGGGGCTGAACCCAGAGGACAAGCTTGATTTCTACCATGACCCCTCCAAGGGCAGGAGGTGAGGCAAGGGAAGGGGCGGGGGGAGGAGGGGAGGGGAGGGGAGGGGATTGGAGGGGAGGTGAGTGGACGGGAGGGGAGGGGGGAGGGGAGGGGATTTGAGTTGCCTTAATCGCCCATAGTTATTCCATCTCTTATTTATCTCTAGAGTTATCCACTGGAATTGTTATGTGGGATAATTTACTGCAGACATGTTATTCCTCTGTCTCTCTCTGGGTTTCATCTCTTCCTCTCTCGCTCTCTCTCCCTCTCCTCTCACACCCCCCCCCCCCCCCCGCGCCCCCCCCCCCACCACACGCTCTGCTCCTATCAGTGAAGAGGGTCAGGTGCAGAAGGTGCTGCGCATCCAGCCATTCAATGACTTCACTGGATTCTACTTCAGTCTCAGTGCGTGCCTTTGCCTCTCCCCTAGTGCGCGCACCACTCTCTGTTGACTGCTGATCAGTGAACGGTGGTTCGCTCAAATTCCTTAACTACCACGTGAGTTTGTCAGATGAGTATTCGTCTCCTTTGTTCCCTCTGTGCGTGTGTTTGCGCGCGCTCGCGCACGTGGTAATCTATGATGGACACACCCACAGGTGGTTTGCGTGTGCTGCGCTTCAGGACCTTCCGCTCTCTCCCTTCTGTTTCTTCCACTGGTTGTGTTCTTTTGCCTTTTATATATGTACACATGCATGTTTATCTACATGTTTGCTTGTGTGCATGTTTCTGCAACGTGCGTCTGTGTATGTTTATCTACGCATGGCCATGTTGACTGCAGATGTGAAGGACGCTCGCAGGGGTGTTGATGATCGTTTTTCTGTGCCTGTCACCAAGGCGGAATTCATTGTGGTCCGAAGCGCCATGAATGTGAGTGAAAGGCAATGAAACCGCATTTTCTTTGTGAGCACTTGAGTCAATCCGTTCAGAGGAAATCAATGTCGTATAGTAACAAAACACAATCACTGGTGTTCAATACCGCGTTTCCTCGCTCTCTCAGCTCTAAAAGATGTGAGTGTTTAATCCTGCCAACGTGGCATGTGTGTTTTTTTCCATGTCTATTGATTCTCTCGTCCTTTGAACTGTAGTGGTTGTCTTCCCTCCATCTCAGTGCCAGCTGGCCTCAGTCTTTTGTCCTCCCTTGTGGTATTTACGGTATTGACACCGTTGTGCCCCTCTCCCCCTGCTCCTCACCCCCCCCTCCCCATCCTTACGGTTTGACACTGGCACCCACTCTGTTGCAGTTCATCTTACCGCATCTTATGGGATGGAATGCGTTTACAAGTCCTGGCGCCATTGATCCTTCTATGATGTTACCGTCAGCACCTTCTAGCGATAACAACTGGCAATGATAGAACCATCCTTTCTACTTTTGTACTCTCCAGTTTTCAGCTACCATCATTATCAGACCAATCAGGTTAGGTCTTCGTTTGGGCTCTTCAAAATGTTGCTGCTTTCAGTATACCGTAAACCCCCGCATATAAGACCCCCTCCAGTTGTAGACCCCCGGGTATATAATACGGAGGGGGGGGGGGGGGGGGGGGGTACTCTATCGAGTCTAGTCGAGATATACCCCCCTATTTGGCACCTTACAATATAAGACCCCCCTATCTAGTGCTGGGGAGAAGAAACAAGAGGAGAAGGACATGAAGTACAGCCTACACACAGGGACGTGCCAGCTACTGGGTGTAGAGCACCCCCTAACCAATACCGTGCAGCCCCCTCGCAGCGTGCATGGGGTGTGAAGGCCGAGGCGACACTGTGCGCTGGGCCCATCACATGGTGAGAACCCTCCCAGCTTGATTTCGTGTTGACGTGTGTCAGACCTCAAGGAGATGGTTTCGCGTATTTTCTTGGAGTGCTAAAACGGAACACTTCCCAATCAATTGTCAGTGCCCAAAAACATGTATATAAAAAGGTCAATTTGTACAGACCCGGGTCTTATATTATGTATGCCACTTATTTAGACCCCCCCATTTTTTTAGGTGCGATTATGATAAGATCCTAGGGTCTTATATCCGGGGGTTTACGGTATATGAACCAAGGGTTTATGGAGGCTTCAAACTATGGAGAGTCACTTCACATGGCAAAGTAGTTCAAGCACGTGCATCTGCTTTATTGAGCAGCAAGCTGGTACAAACCAAGACATCAGCAGGAGGGGTGGTATTGTTTAGGGGACTTACTGCATTACTGAATGCCCATAAAATCTCAGTCACCAGAGACAGATACTGGTATGACCATGGCTGAGGCTGTGAAGCTTTTGATTGTACTAACAGATTGATCGTCTCCAGACACTCCACGTGGTACGGGAAGGAGCATTTATGTTGCTTGTTTGGCGTTTTCCACCGCCGCGAGTGATCTCAACTTATTTTCAGCCTGAGAATGGCAATATATCAACAAGGCGTTTCGGAAGCATAAAGCAATAGTCCAACATACCGTATGGCAGTCCTGACGAAGAAGTGCTATAAGAGCTTCCATCTCGTGTTTCAGCTCTCCTCGATTCATTAACTTGAACAACACGTTAGACTTAGCGCACTTTCTCATCAGCAGAAGACCATCACGAAGGGTAAAAGAAAGTGCTCTCATTTCGTCGCTGCCAGACAGGCCATCCGTCAGCACCAAGTGTGCCCAAGATATAAGCTCCATAAAAGTTGAACAAATTACCTCTTGGAGAATGCATTGACAGTATCAGGGCAGACCACTACTGCTGTTTCAAGAATGCTTTCGAATTTCCGTGCATAGCTACCAAATTTGTGGCAGTGAGTCCGATATATCTTGGCATCGTATTCAGAGTCTCGAATACCCTCAAGGGTGTTCAGGACATCCTGGAAGCAGCTTAGTTTTCGAAGATTGGTCATTCTTCCAGCAACGCAACAAGGTGACAGAGCTCAGGGGGAGGATATCAAGGTACTGAATTCAGTGGAAGTGGCTGCAGCTCGGGAAGCTTGGCTTGCCAATTGCTTTTGGATGATGTCACAAATTCCTGAAACAGGCTTTCTGCAAAAAGCTGCGCTGCAGTTTATACACGTACATATTTTAGGGAAGTCATTTATACGATTTAGCACCTTCCACATATATATGCTAATCAATCAAGCATGATCTAAAGACTACTAGTTAAGGATGCCTAATGCACATTTATGTTATTTATAAGAATTCGAACTAAATATAGGATTGTCTAAATTCTTTAAAAGAGTTATGCATTGTAAAGAAAATTCCTTTTCATTACTTCGCGTCCCTGCTCAGCGCGTACACCACTGTTTCCCGCCAACAGTACCCCACAATAATCCGTTACCACTCGCGACATTCGCCTCGACACTATTTCCGCCACTGTTCACGACGCGACCCAACCTCACGGTTTGGTTGGTAATTTGCGCTCAGGACCTCCGCCTCGACAATCCCCAACCTCGGCGCTAGGCAGGCCCCTAGATTAGTTTTGAGGCACGCTGATCGATCAGCGTGCACCCCTGTTAGAACTCTGTGAGTCAGCGTGGCCCCAAAATTTTAGGCTGAAAAATCAGACAACTCAAAGTTTTTTAGGCTGAATTTTCAGAGTTAGCTGTAAAACTTTCATAAAAAAACACAATAAAACATGTCACATATCTGAGTCAGAGTCTGAACCTCTACAGGAGCACGCTCAACCTCTACAGCCTCCTTTTGAGCCCTTGAAGGCTCCCTGTCTCTTGGAGCAGAGCGGTCGTGTTTGCAGGGAAGGTGGGGTGGGGTGGATGTTTGTGGTGCCGTACGAGGCGTAGTGCGCTGAGACTGAGAGCCATGCGTTGGCAATGATTCTTGCCAACGCTGCCTGCTGCGCAACCCTGATTGGCCGCTTTGCTGTACCAACGCGACAGTGCGGGGCCTCGCGGGGAAAACTTGATTTCCCGCCCGTGATTGACAGTGTTACCAGTAATCCTACAGGCTGGCGGAAATCCCTGTATTGCCGGATTCAGTGGCACCCCCGATACAAGGCTGAGGGCTCAGCCTACACTCATAAAATTAGGCTGAAATTTCAGCCAAGTCATAAAAAAAAACCCTGAAAAATCAGACAAGGTACGTAA